GTAGCAATTCTGCTCACTGTTACTGCCCAGCGTATTTGAGTGATATCTAAAACCGCTAATGTGGAGCTAATGTAATCTATCAGCTGACGTGGTGCCAAACTTATAGGTCTATTTGCATGATATTAGAGGGGTATTACCGATAAACGTCAAAAATCTAGGTGCTCCCTCTCTCCCCCTCTCTCCGTCTCACTCCCCCCTCTCTCTCCCTCGCCCCATCGCCTTTCTTCCATCGCGACTGCAGCCCTGCGCACAGTTAGATCCCGACAACGGATCGCACCGCACTGTGCCCGGATAAGTGTCTTCTGCCTCAGGCTGTAAGGATGCTGCTGTTTGTTCTGCTCGCCCTCGGTCACGCCACCCAGGGTTTACCTAATGTTGATGACGTCACCATTCCACCTTGGGTGACCACTACAGTAAGTATAATGCTCCCATTTTGTCATTTAACTTCAGTCAATCCGAAACCGACTACATCATTGGTAAAAGGTTGTAGCCTAATATGACATGCGTTAACCATATACTTACATTGTTTGAACAGGTATAAATGTATGTATATTTATTTGTGCATGTAAACATGTATACTGTATATACATTGATCACACACACACACACACACACACACACACACACACACACACACACACACACACACACACACACACACACACACACACACACACACACACACACACACACACACACAGGCGCGCGCGCATCCTTCTTTAGTGCCTATAGGATCTGAGATGTTGCTGTCTTCTTCCATTCTCTTTGTCTAAAACCGAACACGTCTGATTTAGTCTTTTATCGTCAAATGTGTAAAAACTGGATAACAATGACCCAACTTTCCAAACTGGAAAAGGTGAAAGTGGCGATCGCAATGGGCTCGACCTGACACTACGAGAAAGATTGGAAACCGCCTTTTCGCACAAAATTACGATATTTCTCTCTTTAATTGAGCATATTGATAGAAAAGGGACCCGTCTACCGGGCTGCATTCATTTCCTCGACTCTTTTTCCGCTCACTTTCACAGGATATCATCCAGAGTGTGGTTGTCTAGCGCCGCATGTGCTTCCTTTGTTTACTTGGATGAGAATATAAACGGCCTCTCTTGACAGTGTTGCCATTCTTCATCTTTACTCTCTGAAGACATCTAGAAAGTGACAGAGCAGGGTTCTTGGTTGTATAAAGTGGGTTATTATCCCAGGACTTAAAAATGGCTGCCTCAACCTTGGGCACTGAAAATATCGTTCCCCTATATCAGGCTTTCAATAGGATTCAGGTCCAGGCAATTTTCCGACCAATCCTTTATAAAAATATACCATGTAGTCTTCAAGTCATTTGGTCTCAGATTTTGCTGTATGGGCTGGAGTATCATCTTGCCGCAAAATGCTGGCCTTGGTAGCTTCATCTAACCATATCACTGAGAGCATCACCTCACTTCAGATAGGATATTTCATGGAAAAGGCAACCCTGCGATCTTTCTGTGCCTTTGATAGAAGAGGTTTCATCCTTGATACAAGTCAGATGTAAATTAACTCTGGCGCATGACATGGTGTGCATGTCTGGGTTGCTCTCCCTCAGAGATCTTACTGTTGTTCGTGGATTTGACCCTAAGGTACACTTTCTGATGTTCAAAGCCCTCGAGAAGTCATCCTTGGGCACCTTGTCCTAGGTTTCAATGGTAGGGTCTCCAGCCCTCCTCCTTCCCAAAACCGAGCCATATATTTCTTGACTTTGGCCACGTACAATTCATTTATTTCTTTCGCTTACTTTCTTTAGTCCAGTGACTTGGGTAATTGCTTCTGTAGTTAATTTCTTTGTAGGCGCCGTGATAATAATACAGCCCTTTTTCACACAGAGAGTATTATTGGGTTTTATATTTTACCTCGACTGATGGAACGTCTGACAACGCTAATATAAAGACAAGAACTTGTATGTCTATTATGGAAATTTTCCTTAAATGATGTTTATTTCTTAGAACACTGGCGTTTTTCACTTAGCAAATGAAACCATATCTGCTTATGTCTATATTTGACAGACTGAGGCATCTAGATCATTGGGACCTGTAGACTTGGACGTACAGCTACCTCGATCCATTAAGCCGCTCCATTATGTGGTCAAACTTCAACCCTTCATTAATGGCAACTTCAGCATCGTCGGCTATATGGAGGTGGATATGGAGGTTCTGAAACCCACTTCCAACATCACTCTCCACATATCGGATATCATCACTAAAAACGACACCGTAAAAGTAGGTATGAGCTTCAATATACTATTGGGTAATTGGCCGCGTACAATTCATTCATTTCTTTTGCTTACTTTCTTTAGTCCAGTGACTTGGGTAATTGCTTCTGTTAATTTCTTTGTAGGCGCCGTGATAATGATACAGCCCTTTTTCATACAAAAAGTATTATTGGGTTTTAAATTTTACCTCGACTGATGGAACGTCTGACGGCGCTAACATAAAGACAAGAACTTTGTATGTCTATTATGGAATATTTCCTTAAATGATGTTTATTTCTTAAGAACACTGGCGTTTTCCACTTAGCAAATGAAACCATAACTGCTTATGTCTATATTTGACAGACTGAGGCATCTAGATCATTGGGACCTGTAGACTTGGACGTACAACTACCTCGATCCATTAAGCCGCTCCATTATGTGGTCAAACTTCAACCTTCATCAATGGCAACTTCAGCATCGTCGGCTACATGGAGGTGGAGATGGAGGTTCTGGAACCCACTTCCAACATCACTCTCCACATATCGGATATCATCACTAAAAACGACACCGTAAAAGTAGGGATGAGCTTCAATATAGTATTGGGTAATATTGATACATAACGTAGATGTAGCTCATTTGAACAAGACAATGTTTAACAACTGAAGCAGGTTTCTTCGTTCCACAAGCTTTGGGATAGTACACAGGAGTTTCAAAATTCTTTTCTGTTTCAGGTTTCAGATCAAGCAACATCCCGAGGCTTGAGGATCAAGAAACACGAGTATGACCATAGTCGTCACTTTTACATTGCCCATTTGAGGAAAGAGCTCCAGAAGGGAAAAAGGTACATCCTGTCCATGGAGTTCCTTGGTTATCTTAATAATAAGCTGCATGGCTTCTACAGAGCGACCTACAAGGATGTTTATGGTAACATCAGGTGAATATCCCTTTGTTGTCTGTAACTGTACCCATTTCATAGTATACTAAAGACTATTTGCATATTATCGCTATAATCTCCGTCCAGAAATGCGGCTGCGACCCAGTTCCAGCCCACCGCCGCCCGCAAGGCCTTCCCTTGCTTCGACGAGCCGCACTGAAGGCAACCTTTGAAATTCACCTCGCAAGGGAATCTTGGATGACGACCCTCTCCAACATGCCCATTGCCGAAACGGTGCCTGTGTGAGTAGCACTTCATGATAATACAAATGTTATTCTATACTTTAGATATATGTCTTAATACCTTCCAATGCATCTTTTGATTAAACTGAATTTGTAATCCAACAGTGAAGGACAGGAGGGATGGATGTGGGATCGTTACGAGAAGAGTGTCCCTATGTCCACTTACCTGGTTGCCTTCGTCGTGTCCGACTACGTTCATATCAACTCGACCGAGAATGACCGTGTAGATTTTCGAGGTAATGACATTTTATCGAAGCTAGGTTCATCAGTGTTAATTTGTGTGAGTGAGTGAGCAAGACAGATAGAAAGCGAATACCTTTCATGCATATGTTCTTGTGAAAAAATATAATTGTTGTCAGATTTATCACTCTACTGATATATTATAAAGAATTATAATTAGTTTTTTAGGCATGACCGTGAGCATGTGCAAAAAGGCATGATCAGGGGTGACTGTGCTTAACATTCTAACCAGAAAAATTCTCTGGCAGTGTGGGCACGACAAGAGACCATAGATCAAGCAGAATATGCAAATGAGATAGGTCCCAAGATCTTGTGTTTCTTTGAAGATTATTTCAACCTATCTTATCCCCTCCCGAAGATGGACATGATTGCATTAACCGACCTCTCTTTTGGAGGTATGGAGAACTGGGGTCTAATAACTTTCAGGTAAGGCAGTGACATTAGCACAGAGGTCTGGTATTACAGCACCATCATGTATTGTTTTAAATATTATAACCCATTTTACTCAGGAGCCGGGATCAGTGATATATTTGTATACAGAGAAAGGGTCGAGAATAAGGATATAAGGGTTGTGTGTGAAGTTTAAGACAAAAAGAAGCCATAGTTGTAGAATTGGCTGACGTCTGAAGGCTGTATATCGCTCTATTAAATAAATCTCATGTAACCTTATTGCTCACAGCATGCACAACCCTATTTCTAGCTATGACAGAGTTCTTACTATTAATTCAACTCTCACATTTAACAGAGAAAGCCTCTTGTTGTACGACCCACAAGTTTCAACCCCTGCCGATAAGGCAGTTATTGCAAAAATTGTATCTCATGAGTTGGCTCACCAGTGGTTTGGCAATCTGGTGACGCCTAAGTGGTGGGACGACTTGTGGCTCAACGAGGGATTCGCTACTTATATAAGTTACCTTGGAGTAGATCATGTACGTTACTTGAGTCATGATATAATGAATCCAATAATATGTAAAAGTAAATAAATCAAATGCAAAACATATAAACTTATTTTGCTTATGTTCAAAAGGTGGAACCAACGTGGAAGGCAATGGAAGAAATCGTCGTTGAAATAGTCCATCGTGTGTTCAATCTAGACAGCCTGGAGTCCTCCCACAGGATCAACATTCCCGTCTCAAACCCGGACGAAATATTCGAAGTCTTTGATGACATATCATACAATAAAGGTCGGTATTTTTTCTTCATTGTTTTGGTTTTTATGGTATTTCTTTGTCCATCTCATTTCTTATCTTTTATATTTTCTTTCTACAATGATCTAGGAGCGTCTATCATCCGGATGATGACCCACTACCTCACAGAGCCGACCTTTAGGAAGGGATTGAACAACTATCTAAAAGCATTGTAAATATGCTAATATAAGTGTACCTTATGACATGTAATACTAATTGGATGTAATAATGACTCAGCTTAAAGGTTTGAAATTTATATTGTGCTACTTTGCAATTCTCAAGTCTCGCTCTATATATATGATCCTGAATATATGTCCATTTCATGTAGCACATACAATAGTTCTGTGCAAGACGACCTGTGGAAGCATCTGACTCTGGCGGCTCACGAGGACGGCATTCTACCCCAGGACGTGACTGTGAAGATGATCATGGACACGTGGACGCTGCAGATGGGATACCCCGTCGTGAAGGTGACAAGGAGCCCGACGGAACCTCTGCTACTTTGACACAGGTGAGTTTGTACTTAATGACTTGATGGAAGGGAGGAACATATTCAGTAAACATATCATTTGGCCCTATATATACCCGCCTTAATTTCCAGGAGCGGTTCCTCTTAGAAGGGAGCGCAAACTCCCAGCACCACGGATTACAAGTGGTGGGTGCCTCTGACCTTCACGACCCAGAGAGGCCAACTTCAGCAGACTCAAGCCAGTTTATGGATGAAGGACTCTGAGGATCACGTCACCGTCTCTTCTCTTCCCCCGAAGGACCAGTGGGTCATCTTCAACCTGCAGCAGGCGGCCTACTACCGAGTCAACTACGACGACCAACTGGAATCTTATCATCCAGCAGCTGAAGAAGGACCACCAGGTTATTTGCCCCATCAACAGAGGGCAGATTGTCGATGATGCCATGAACCTTGCTAGGGCTGGTACAGTAATCTTTATCTTTTATAGTATTTCTTTCTTCTACTAAGGAATTATATAGCTGTTTTCTATGCATATATGGATATTCAAGAGTTACTGATTTTCTTGTCTGTATTACTCAAGAACGTCATATTTCATACACTAACGTAAAGGGAGTGAACGTGTATTTTTGATGAGTTAAAATATATGCGTGTTCCAAAATTAGTAATGAAAATCATTTTATGATTTCGTAATTTTGATTAGCAAAATGGATACCTTCCATTCAGGTCATCTCAGCTACAAGCTCGCCCTGGACGTTTTACCGTATCTGCGAAATGAAGGAGAATATCTGCCTTGGGCTACAGGCGCCAGGAAATTCGTTTACATAGAGAGTATGTTCAGACGCAGAAGTGGATTCGGCGCTCTCAAGGTGAGGCTCGGAGGCTCACACGGAGTTTTACTTGCCTGCGATGAAACCGCAACCGATATGCCGAATTGTTTGATCATTTATTTCAGAATATAAATGGATATATGCATATGTATGTAATATCATATATATATAATATATATATATATATATATATATATATATATATGTATGTATGTATGTATACACATACATACGCGTATATGAACATTCTTTTCTTTCCAGCGTTACCTCTGGATTTGGTGTTGCCGCTCTACGAGTCCGTTGGGTTCGACAACAACATCGAGGACTCTTTCTTGGAGCAAAAAAGAGGAAAATAGCCGTGACATGGGCTTGCAGACTGGGCCACAAGGACTGCCTCAACAAAGCGCTCACTCTCTACAGGCACTGGATGTCACAGCCGGACAATTCGGTAGGTGTAGCGCGGTGTATGTCGTATCGGGACAGTGTCTACACTTTTTTGGATCAGTATGATTGTTATGTTGTCATTATTGATCTCGGGATTATCATTATCGATAATTTTACCTTCATTAGTGGTTGTAACAGTAAGTTACTCTACTTTTTAATTATCATTATAATTACTACTATCAAACCTTCTGTCATACCAAATTAATAAGGACTAGATACTCTACCCAAAGGAATATAATGATATCCAGATTTATCAGTATAAAAATTTCAGCATCATTTCGCCAACCTTAAAACCTGTGGGTTCTGTCGCGCCATCGCCGAGGGCGGGGAGGCCGAGTGGACTTCGCGTGGGACCAGTACGTTACTTCCAGCGTCGCTACCGAGAAAAGGCTTCTTCTCAGATCTATGTCCTGCTCGAAGCAGACTTGGATCCTATCTAGGTACGTCGTCTTGCCTGTGTGTGAGAGAGGGTGGCGGGTGGGAGAGGCAGGGCGAGTGTCGGGGGAAGACAAGGGTATGGTGCTGCACTTGTGGATTGCACAATGGCCAAGGGGCGCCAAGACCACGGCTAAATCCAGAACTGCTGAACTGAAACCGATATTGGCTTTTTCTCGTGGAAGGAGACACTTTGGACCACCTTGAATCTCTGGCGATATAGTCCTTGGCCAAGTGGAAGGGAAGGTCTCGTGGAGCAGCATTACTACGTTCTACGGTTACGAGAACGGTTGCTCCTCGAAACAACGAAGAGAAGGAGGGACGAACGAACGAAGGTCGAGAGCCAAGCAGCAATGGGACAGGTGGTCGTCGGCTATTGCATCGAACCCCAGGGTGTACAGTTTTGTGTCTCAGGGACTGTTTGGATGTTCAAAAATAAGAAAAGGGGGGGGGGGGTCGAGAGAGAGAGAGACGGAGGCAGAAAGGAGAGGGAGAGGATGCGCATGTGATATGTATATTTCCATAGTTAATTTCTACATGCTTTTCCAGATACCTCGAGATGGCTACGAACAGGAGCAATGGCATAAGACTGCAAGACGTTATTTATGTGTTAAGAGGTGTGAGTAGCAATGACGGGTGTGGGACTACCTCACACATAACTGGAACAATATTTATACTTTGTAAGTCTTTTCTATCACAAAAATACAGTGTGAGCATATATTTTAGCAAAATATAAACAATATAAATATAAAAACATAGACAAAGGCAATGACAAGGAATGCCAACCTGTAGGTTCCTTCGCATACTAGATTTTTTCACTTTCTTTCACAGCAAGAAGAGTCGGAGAGGTGACGTCATGAAAAGGCTAACACAAGCATTCAATACGAAACAGGAACTGAAAAGGGTAAGGTCGTTATTCTGTGTATAGAGCAATGCAATCAAGTATTAACTAGATCACGTAGGATAAACATTTCTGACACCTATACCTAGTAATAAATGCATAATTTCATTTCAAAATCCCGTAGCTTCAACTGTGGGAATTAAATCACATTAATGTTTTTTTTAACCAAGAATCAAATCACATCTCTTCAGGTCCAGTCGTTTTTGAGGAGGAGGACGGTGAACTTGGAGGGGAACCAGAGGAGCGTCCAGCAGGCAGAAGAGAAGGTCAAGAACAACGTCGCCTGGATGGACACAAAGTATGACGTCATAGTCCAGTGGCTGGAGGAGAACGGCTACTCCTCGAAACTACGGGTCGTATATATATATAGTATATATATATATATATATATATATATATATATATATATATATATATATATATATATATATATATATATATATATATATATATATATATATATATATATATATATATTATATATATATATATATATATATATATATAATATATATATATATATATATATATATATATATATCATGGAACTTGAAAAGGCTCAATGTGAAGCCACTGCCCATGACAATTTGCGCACATTTTACGTAAACATTGTCGCCGCTGTAATTCTCGCTTCAGCTCGCAAAGGAGAAAAGAACACGAGAGAGGGCGTGAACCTAGAAACAAGTGATATGAATTTTTTTTTCTTTCTTTCTTCTTTTAGAAAGAAACTGTCAAATTAAATGGAACTGCAATAAATAAAGATAAATATGTGCCGTTTTCATGTTCACATTAGTTAAAGCTCTGTCAGTTCGCCCTTTATATATATTCATATTATTAACATCATCAATAGTTTCTCGTTGCAAGGAAACAGAGAGAGAGAGAGGTAGGTAGAGGGTGAGGAGGAGGAAGGGAGGAGAGGGAATGAGGAAAGAAGAAGAGAGAGGGAAAGGTTGATGGGAGGGGAGAAAGGGGACACATACTGATATAAACAATGCAGTTCCTTAGACTGACGTCAGCAGCAAGGAAAATTGGATCACCTAGGACAAAAAATAACCAAGGAGAAAAGATAAAGAAGAGATGAAAGAATAGGGTTTATTGAGGGAGGATGAGGAGTGATCGCTGGATATAGATAAATAGATAAAGCGAAAGAGAGAGAGAAAGATCGGAAAAGCTTTGTACATGGAAGCCAGCGCTGTGGTATCCGCTGGATTTATATGTAAGTATCAATATATATGTATGTATGTACTGTATATATAGATATATATGTCCAACAACGGATTTTAAAGATAAGTTATACATGCGCGCGCATATCCAAATTCATGTACATGCATATACACATGTATATATATATATATATATATATATATATATATATATATATATATTATATATATATATATATATATATATATATGTATGTATATATGTGTATTTATTCTTTTATAAACATACATAACATACTTTTAAAATCCGTTGTTGGACATATATATCAATATACATATACATACATACATACATACATATATATTATATCTATATATATATCTATATCTATATCTATATATCTATCTATCTATCTATCTATATATATACACATATGTATATATATATATATATACAGATATTCATATATTCATAGATACATATATATATATATATATATATATATATATATATATATATATATATATATATATATATATGTATATACATACATAATACATACATATATATATATATATATATATATATATATATATATATATTATATACATATATATACGCATTTGTACATCTATATCTATATCTATCTATCTACCTAGTCTCTCTCTCTCTCTCTTCTCTCTCTCTCTCTCTCTCTCTCTCTCTATCTATACTATATATATATATATATATATATATATATATATATATATATATATATATATATATATATATATATATATATATGCACATCCATGCAAACATGTACATGTACATACAAACAGACAAATACCTGAGGACACACGGCCATATGCTTGCGTGTTGGCTACTGTGGCCAGGCCTTCTGAGCAACGACAGGGCAGCGACCCGGTAAGTAGCCTGGAGCGCCACTGATGT